GCACAGGTGACCTAGCCCTGAATCAGGCTCAACCAGGCACCCCCAAAGACACCACTCAGCTGCAGGGGTACCTGCTTCCAACAGAGAATGAGCCATGATGCCTGAGCCTCAACATGCCCCAATGGTGATGACCTGCAGCTCAGGCTGCTCATGACATCATTACTGCCAGCACAAACCTCACCACCATGGGAGGCAGGAGAGGGGCCTCTAAGAGCTTGGGCACCCACATTTCTGCCCCTGGCAGGAGGGAGGGAGAGCCTGCCTGCACAGGCCTCTCAGGCAGCTTGCTCCAACTTCTCTTGCCAACCAAACCAAAACCGTGGTCAGCGTGGCATATAAAACATCTCGCCCGCGAAAACAAACTCAGCATTGGCATCCGAGTGATTTCAAATTATAGCTCTCCCAACAAAAGCAAGCATTAGAGGATTGAAAAAAGAGGGGTGACCGCCAGCCAAATCGGGCTGAGCCTTCTCTGAGCATCCTGCCCCAGCAAGCAAGCACCACCCTCTCCCCTGTGCTCAGACATCAGCTTGCCCCCTCCTGTCCCTCTTCTCCCCGTGTAGGCAGGGTCACAGCTGAAAGCAGGGGGAGCTGGTGCCGGGGACTCAGGCTCTCAAGTCCTCCCAGGGCGTGTGCCTGGCTTACCTGCAAAGGGGATGAAGAGCCCGGCTGCTCGGTAAGGTGAGCGAGTTTAACGCTGGCACCAGGGGGGCTGCCCACAGCCATGGGAGAAGCTGCAGGGGAGCTGGGCTGTCCCTGAAGGACAGTGAAGGGACCCATCCGCTAGGCACAGGCAGTACTCGGCAAGCCTCCGTGGGCGTCACTCACTGTTGGGCACAGGCAGATGGACAGGACACAGAGACATCCGGATGGGGCTGGTGAGTCAGGAACACACTGCTCCTCGAGCCTGACCCCCTCCAGGCAGTACAGAGCAGCAGGAGGACCTGCTTCATGACCACACGGCCCAGGGACCTGTGTCCCTGTCCCTGGCTGGCAGGGCTCGGGTGGGCTGGGCCTAGCAGCAGCCCCCCTGGTCTTCTTTAGGATCACACTGCGCTACCATGGCCAGCAAGTGCTCCGGGCCAAGAGACAAGGACTGAACGCCTCCTAGAGGGAGACAGACCCCACGTTGGGGGCTCCATCCCAGGAAACTCGGGTTCCAGCCGAGTTCCAGCTACAACAGCAGCTCCCGGTGGCCTTCTGCAGGGACACAGTGGCACAGAAGGCCTGAGACCCCATGTCCTCTAAAAGTAGGGGGATGCTGACAGGGAGGGGGTGATATCAATGTGGGGGTGAAAACCAAAGCTTCCTCTAGGTGCCCCAGGGAGACACAGCAGAAACAGGTAAATCCAGGAAAGGCGAATGCGCCGCCTTTGATAAGGCTTCTGGACGCTGGCCTGGGGTCTGGGCTGGCTGTGTTTTCTCAATTTAGTGACCCATGGCCGGCTCAAAGGTGGCAGCAAGCGAGAGGAGGAGCCCTGAGCCACACGGGACAGTGTCAGTCCTGCAACCCCGGAAGCCAAGAAGAGTGAGGATGTCATAAAAGCTCAACACCACAAGGCGGGGGACAAGGCTGTGCTGATCCAAAGGGTGGCCCTGGCACCATGCCAGGCCCCTCCTCATTGCCATGCTTTGGCCACACCACACTGGGCACATGTGTCTTGACCTCACCACCCCCCAGAGGTGGGCCCCCGCAGAGCAGCCCAGCTCACACGGCAGGCAGCCTCCGCTCCTGGAGCCAACAGGAGACCCAAGTTGCCCCACACTGTCTGACAGGACAGGGGTCGGTGGGGGACCAGGGCTGGCCAAAGACAGCCACGGGAACGTGGAAAGTGTGAGACAGAACGAGAGCAGGGGATTCTGGGTGCATTTTACTTCCTTCCTTGTTCCTGAAACGTGTTCTGGTGCCAAGAATAAAAGTTCATTCAAAAGAAAAATGACAGGGAGATAATATTTTATAATGTTTCCCCCAAGTTCAAGTTTCAGTTTTGGACATCTAGAGAATTCAGAAGATGAAATATCTCACTGCCCTTCGATGTGAGATAAACATAATACTCTCTCTACGAAGGTCTTTCAACATTAATTTATCAAAGGAAATCAGATGTCCTCTAACCCAGGGTTACTAGGTCCACAATTGAGGCGTTTCCCCCACTTGGGGGGAACCCTCGAAAAACCAAGCAAGTGATGCGTCTCTCAGTCTTCCAAGGAGGCCAGCAGGGGCCCCAGAAGCCGCAGCCTGCTGAACACGGGAACGGGAACAGAGTCCAGCCACCTGGGCAGACAGGAGGGGGCCGCTGCCCGCTGAGGTGCTTCTGGGGAAGAGAGGGGCAAAGGCTGAGAGAAATTCCACGAAGCTCCCTGGCTAAAGGCAACACCCTCATAGTCCCTTCTCTACCACGTGAACTGCAATTCCCAGGAGCCTCTGATTCCCAACGCCTGGGAATGCTGGTGCCAAGGTGCAAAACGACCATCTCCACACTGTGGACTAAGGAAGCCCCCTCCCTAGGACAAAGCCAAGACCCTTGGAGAAGGAACACCCACCTGTTGCCCTCCCCCAAGCACCCCCTCTGCTCAGTGGTGGTTTGTGAGGCCTGACCCTGAGCTCCACCCAGAGGGACACTCCCCTCAAGGACTTCGACCTCCCTCCCACAGCCTGTGCCCTCATCTCCCTGCGGCCCTACATCCCACCCCATCTCCATCTGAACGCCCACCAGCCCAGCAGCCCCTGCCTCTCACCCAGGACACAGCAAAAGTAGCCCCACTGCCAGCCCCTCCCACAAGCCTGCACAAAGTCAGCCCATGCCCTGCCCTCCACACCAGGCTGCGGCCCTCCACCCCCAACTGGCAGTGCCCCTGACATCTCCCTGCTGGTGACCTTGGGAAAATTCCAATGGGTTCCACGTCCCCACAGTCCTCAACAAGGTTTGTGATGAGGCTCCCAGCACAGGCCTGACACACAGTAGGTTCTCAGCAAAGAGAGCTCTTCCATGCTGGTCCAGAACCTCTCTCATGAAAAACCCTCTCAGACCAGCCCAGGCAGAGGAGCTGATGCCAAAGATGCACATCAGCCTGGGCCAAATGTTGGCAGTATTTCTTGTTGGGGGAGGTGCAGGGACAGTTTCCCTGACATCTTGGGTCACCGGTAACATCACAGCACATAACAGCACCATTTAGACCAGAAGCCACCTCTAGACTGCCCACTCCCATCTAGGATGGAGGAGTAAAAGACCCTGGACAGCAGCCAGGCTCCACCCTGTGCCTGCAACAGACAGACCCAGAAACAGAACCTCTTGCCTTTCCTTAAAGGGAATGGGAATTAACAAGCTCTGAGAGTCACATGCACCAGCAATAACTCAGCCAGATCAGCAGGCTCCGGCTGCGGAGATCTAACTCAAATCCAGCCTGCTGCAGCACCCCTGGCTCCATCCTCCACCCTGCAAAGGCATTTCTCAGTGGCAGCGCCTAAGGGTGCTCAGCATGCCATGTGGGTCAGCTGGCAAGAGCAGGAAGGTGGGGAGGAAAGACTCACGCCATTCACCAAAATCAAGAATCATCTTCTCCCCTTTCCGGATGCTCCCTCTTCTCTGCCTTCTCATGCAGCAGGGACGCCCAGCACGCTCCAAGACCTTCAGGCCACAGCCACCTACTCCACCCACCGCCTGTCCTGCACCATCAAGGCCACCCAGAACCTGTGGGGCCACGAGGGAGGGCAGCTGCTCAGTCCCTCCTGAAGGATCCTACAGAACAACACTGACCCCTGCCATGAAAAGCCACATTTCCAAGGCAGAACCAAGGGGCAATGGGAGGTGAGGCCTCTGGAGCTCTTTGTTTTGGGAGAAAGGCTGACAACAGGTCAACACCCATTGAATTACCCCAGCTTGCACACACATGCAGGCCACCCTGCAAGGGCCGGAGAACACAGCAACTGAATCCCGTCTCTGAGCCAAAATCGCAGGCGTCCTGCAGCGTGGCCGGTGGCCCTGGAACCCAGCATGCCCCAGCTCGCCCCAGCTCTGTGTCAGGCCTGGAAGGCCGGCTAACTTTACATGCCAGTGGAGTAGGCTTACACCTCCGGCCAGCCGGCACTCTCCCAGGCTGGCCCATGCCTGACAACTGCCCCCACAAGGAGGGAGGCCTATAAACACCCCCCACCTCCCACTCCCCCATGACAGGCGTGGCCTCTGCTTCCAAGGCTGGCCCAGGAAAGCTAGGGTTGCCATTTATATAATCTTCCAGGGCTGGTGGGGCTGACACAGCCAACGTGAGGGCAGGGTTATGAAAAATACATGCCCAGAGCCTTTGCATCTAAAAAAAAAAAAAAAAAAAAAAAACCCACCAGCATTCTGCATGACTTGGTTTCAAGACCTCTCACACATCCATTTTGTGAACAAATGGATCCCTCAGAGCACCAAGTACTATTCGTGGCACTTCCAGACCTTGCCCAGTGGGCCCCAGGTCCCCACCAGGCATCACCCCTGGGTTACAGACCCCTAGGTCAGAAGAAGCCCCTGCAGGCATCCCCACTGAGGCACCCACACCTCACAGGACTTAGGGAGGTACTAATTTAAGGGCAGCTCAGAGCTCCCAAACCACCCTGTGTCACTGGACACCAAGACTGAAGCCCCCACACTGCTTCTACAAAGACACGAGGGTCAAGACCACCTGGGTCAGTAAAGTGGGTCATGAGGACTGGAGAAGAAGCAGACTGATAGACACGCCCTCCCAGTGCCCACTCTCCAGTGCCCACCCCCCACTGTGCACACATAGACCACACGCACACCAGAGGCCTGACCTCGCGCCATAGCTGGCTCGCAAACCCCAACCTGCACACAGACACAGAATGGGACCCACACGTCGTCCATACACCTGGCATACGTCCTGCCAGCCACTCCCACACATGGCCCCGCACCCCCCAGGGCTGCCTAAAGCATGGGGCAAGAGCAAGGACGTGCCCAAGGACGCCCTCGCCGACATCCCCCTGCGGGCCGGCGCGCCCTCACCTGCAGCTCGCACCAGGCCACCTCCACCCAGGTCTCCGTGTCCAGCCCCTTGTAGACTGTCTTGAAGGAGCCGCGGCCCAGCTCAATGTCGAACTTGAGGAAGCGGCCGTCCAGGGAGGTGGCCACAGCCTTGAGGTCATCTTCGTCGTCCTCCTCCTCCTCAGGCTCATCCCGGCGTGTACGCCCCGGCTCGGGGTCGGGCTTCGCCTCGGTCGCCCCCGCGTCCTCCTTCTTCACCGCCGCCGCCTCCTCCTCTTGGGGGCCGCCGTCGAGGGCGGGCGCGGTTGCGGCTGTGGCGGCGTCTGGGCCGAGTTCCTTTGTGCCTGTGGGCTCTGGGCCGGGGTCCGCGGGGGTGCCGGGGGCGCCAGGCGACCCGGCGGGGAGAGCAGGCGCAGGGGCAGCTGGGCGGCCGCGGGCGCGCTCCGCGATGAGGCGGCGCGTCTTGCAGAGCAGAAGCACCCGGCGCTGCAGGGGCTGCGGGGGCTGCGGGCCCGGCGTCTCGGCCGCCTCCAGGCCCGGCGGCTCCTCCTGGTCCGACTCCACCACACTGCGCCTCAGGAAGCGCTGGGGCCCGGGCCGCGCCGCCCTCGCCCGCGGCTCCGCCATGCCCGCGGGCCCCGCGCCGCGCCCGGCCTCCATCAGCGCGCCGGGGGCGTCCCGGCGGCCGCCATCGCCGTCCATCTCTGCGGGCCAAGGACACACAGGCCCGCGTGAGCGCCGGCTCCACCGCACCTGCCGGGGCCACGGCAGGCGACAGCGCCGCCCCTGGGCCCGCGCCCTGCCCAGCCCGGGCCGCAGAGCCCCCAGGCCCTGCTCTACAGAGCTATCTTTGGGGTCCCAAATATAGGGGCTGCAGACCGGACCTAGAGGCTCAGGTTGGGGAGCGGGGAATGTACCCTGTTCAACCCTGGGCCGCGGAGAGGGCCTGCCTTGGGCTTTCCCCGGGACCCTGGGAGGAAAGACCTGCTGGGGTGCCCCTGAGGTTCCAGGAGCGGCTGCAGGAGGGACCAGGAGGCCGGCGGAGGGGGGCTCGCGCCCTGCCCAGCCGCGGCCCGGGCTGGGGGCCTGCTGGGCTGTCCGGGGCGGGGGTTGGGGAGAACTGCAGAAGGGACAGGGAGGGCCGGGGGTAGAGGGGTTGGGGAGAAGGCACCGGCCAGGCGGCGGCTCCACAAAGGACGCGGGCCTGGGGCGCGCGGGGAGGGGGCTGCAGCGGCGCGCCGCGTACACAAAGGCAGCAGGTAGCGGGGCTCGGCACTCACAGGGCGAGCGGACGCCGTCCATGCCCGCGGCCCGAAGGCCGGGGCGGACGAGGCGGGCGAGGCTGCGCTTCAGGGCCGGGGTCCGACTTCGGGACCGGGTCCGCGCTGGGGTGCGGTCGCGGTGCTGCTCAGGCTCCTGCGCGCTGCTCCCTCCGGCCGGGCCACTGCGGGGCCGCGCTCCCGCGTGCTCCTGCGAGCTCCGCGGCTCTGCTCCCGCACCGGCTCCGACCCGGGGCGCGTGGAGGGCGGGGGCTCCGTTAGCCCCGCCCCAGGGCCAGCGTGGGGGCGGGGCCTGGCACGCCTACCTGGATACCCGCGAGCGCGCGCGGCCACCTGCGGGCCTGCCCGGGTGGCTACTACCCGCAGCTCCTCTCTTGGGGCGGCGCTCCTGGCCTCTGAAGCTTTTTGGAACCTTCTGCGGGGCTGTCTGCTGTGGAGGACCTATTTGTCCCCAGGAGGAAGCAGGAGACTCAATGCTTCACCATGACACAGCTCGGCGCTTCTGACCTCTGAGCCCTGTGCCAGGACAGAAAAGGCAGGCCGAAAGAGAAGAGCCGGGGGTACCGCCACCCTCGGGAGCACAGCCAAGGGCTAAGCTTGGTCAGGGGTTGGCATGTCCTTTCTGCCCTCACTTCATCATCCTCCAGGGAGGTAACACTGATCATTGTGTCCATTTTACAGTTGAGCAAACTGAGACCTCAAAGGCAGAAGATATCTACCCTAAACCCCAGAGCTCCTGTGACAGAGGCCGAGCTGGGATGCTTTGGATGAGGGCACGGAGAGTCTTCCAGAAAGCCCTTGACCCAGAGTTTTCTTCCTCTGCCTCTGTCAAATTCCACCTCTCCACGGGAGTCTTCCATAGAAGACAGCTATGCTCACCACTATACTACCAACGCAGGGAGTCTTCCATGATCTGTCCCCCCTCCTTCCTCCTCTGGACTCCCACAGACAAGCCCTCTACTGGGCATCTCTGGCCCTACTGCAGGGAGGTGGCCTGTGTCAATGACAGTACTGCTAATTTCTGAGCCCCGCTCAGACAATGCCTTGAACTAACACCCACCCTCTCACCCCATCTTCCATGACCCTATCATGCACACTCATTGGACCCACTTCCAGATGAAGAAACTAAGGCCCGAGGGAGATGCCGGGGTGTTCTCATCTCAGTTCCCATTCCCCTGGGTTGGCATCCATCAGATACACTTTCACAGATGAAGAGATGCCTGTGGGCCATTGGCCGAGGAGCCCCTGGCCCAAAGTAACTCATGCGACGTAAAAGCCAGCAAAGGAGATACCAAACCCTCAGAATTCAGAGGGAAGAGTGTGCCAAGCCAAGCCAACTGTTACCCAGAGAAGGAGGACTTCCTGGGGCCCCACTGGGTACTGGCGCCAGTTGAAACTGACTCATGAGAGCTGAGGGTGCACAGTTCTGTTTGGAGATGCCACACCGTAGCCTGAATTCAGCAATGCTGGGAGTGTTTACTCTATGGAAATTAGCAAACAACTCAAATGAAGACTTTCCCCACAGAAAGCCAGTGGTTAAACAGTGTGCTGGGCATGAGGCTATGTATTTGGCACATGCCTGCTAATTTATGTTCTCTAACCCTCACATCTACTTTGTGAGATAGGCGTGTAGTCTGAGGCTCAACTGCTCCGGCTTGAGCCCAGAGCCTGCACAAGGAAGAGGCAGAGCAGCAGATTCCAGCTCTACAGGTCTAAGAGACCCTGAATGATAGGGTGGGGGTCTTAAAGGCGGAGGTGGAGGGTGGCTAAGGAGCTTTTCTATCTTCCCCATGAGGCTAAACACCCCCAACCGTGCCCCTGGCCATCTGAGTGACCTTGGACAAATCCCAGCCCTTCCCGAGCCTCAGTATCCCACCCTGTAAAATGGGCTGGTCATCTTGGCTTGTCCTCCTTAAAAGGCTACCAATTCTTCCAGCCTTGGTCAGTCCAGGAAGGGTACCAAGTACACAGGGCCCGTTCATGACAGGTGTGGTGTATTCAATGCTACAAGGGAAAACCAGGACGAGATAGAGTTAAGTGTGTTCAGAAGCAAATGTGCATCAGTCTGGCCTCTTCCTGCTCCCAAAAGACCATGCAAGCAGAGTGTGAGCATCGTGCCTGCTGGTGATGGAGGAGATGACTAGACTCATAGATGTGTATGGAGAAGAATGGCTACAACCACAAAGCAGCAGAAAGCAGCCCAGGCTGTGGGAGTAGGGGACAGCCTGTCCCTGAGTGAGTGCTGTGGGCTCTCTGAGCCCTCAAGGGTGATTTCATGAAGCCCTGCTTACATGCCTCCTGTGACAGAGATCTCACTCTCTCTGCCAATGCATGACCATTAGAGTCCACAGCCAAATGGCTAGTGGACAGGTCATAGTTTCCTTTGCGAGAAATCTCCGGCTAGGCTCGGGAGTAGATCCTGGGATCCTAGCAGGTGGAGCCTGAAGGATTCTTGGACAGACCTTGGAAGCCAGGACTTGTGTACCCTCAGCCAGGCCACTGGACATCTCTGATCCTCCCTCTCCCTGGGGCTAAGACAGGGAGAGTAAACACTGCCATCTGCTTTGCTGGTTGTTCTGAGGCTCCATGACCCAGAGTCACGATGACAGCATCTGTCTTTATGCTTAGAACAGCCATCTCAAAGGCTGAAGGGCCAAGTAGGCATGATGACCTCCGTTTCACAGATAAGTACATTGAGGCCTAGCCCAGAGACGTTTCAACTTTAAGCAATTTGCTCAAGGTCACACAGTGGAAACAGTGACCTCCACCTCACAGCTGTCATCTCAGCTTCCCCAGTGTCGGAGAGCCCTTCAGTGAGACAAATTTCCCCCAAATCCAGTCTATGCCCCAGCCCAATTCAGCAGTGGGTACCTGCATGCACATACCTGCTCCACGCAGACACAGTTCCCAGCGCTGGGACCTAGCATGCAACAGGACCATGTCATCAGTTTGCTCATCTGTGAGATGGGCATAACAGTCATGTCCAGCAGTCTTGGCACAAGTAGATGTTCCACAAATGCTTGTGGAGGGAGGGAGACAGAGCAGACTGCCTCTGCGCACATCAAGGCCTATCAGAGCTCACTGGTTAGAAGGAAGGGTGCAGTCTGGCCTTGCCCAGTAGGAGCCCAGCCCCCAGGTACTTCCTGGCGTGGGTCTGCCTCTGAGCAGGACCAGGCAACCTGTCTAGTGCTCAGGTCCAGCGCAGCCAGGCCACCTCTCTGAGTGCCCCCCAGGCCACACACACCATGGGGAGGATGCTCCAGTGGAGGAAAGAGACGGGGGGACAGTGCTGGGAGAGCAGAGCCCAGGTAGGTGGTGGGAGTGGCCTGGGGAGTTGTAGGAAGGCCTGAGACCTGAGGAAGGGTGGGGACAGGGCAAAGGACAGACAGTGTGTCATGATGGGGGGCAGCAGGGGGCTGGCGAAGCTTGGGCTCCTACTCCTGGGAAGTGATGGCAGAGGATGGCAAGGGCACGGCCAGGCCAGAGCATCTCTGAGCCCTGGTCTCACTCCCCAGCTGGATGGGCGACCCGTGGGCAGGGCCAGGGGTAGACAGGTCAGGTGGTACTTGATGAGCCAACGCTTCTGGAATGACTCAGCTTTAGGGGATGAATGAATGAGAAAATGTTTTCCTTCCAATAATGGGATTTCATTAGAAATGTTCTGAAGTATGACACACAAATCAGAAAACAGCCCCCAAACAGTCTCCTAAGTTAATACTATATAGGACTTTGCGATTCCAGGGGGAGGTGAGTTTTGGGGTGATACTCATTTCTGGTAAGGCGGATAATACAGTTAAAAATAAAACTGTAAGTTCAGGGGGAAAGAGGGTGCCCAGATGTGGGAGGAAAGCCTAAACTGTCCGGCCTCCCCACACCCCCTCCCGCCTCGGTTTCTCTAGCCGTAGGTGGGATCTACTGTGCTGCCTCAGCTGCTGATGAGAATCACCATGGGACCTGCCAGGACCCTGTCTGTCCCCCAGCCCAACATGTCTTACACACGCTGCCCTTTAGCATCCTCGAGGCCTGAGAAGCCCCCGACCCCTTTCCCAGAGATTCCACTGGGTAGGATCTGGGGTGGGCCAGGCCTTGGGTGTTTGGAAGCTTCCAGGCAGTCCTAACATGCAGCCAGGACCCAGAAGCCCCTCACAGGCTCCAGGTGCTTAACAAGAGCTGCCTGCATGGGGGACCCCTTCCGAGGAAAGAGCAACAGAGCAGACCTTTGACTCGACCCTCTGGATCAAAGATCTTATTTTGCTGGGTTCACTGACAGCGGTTCCATGCCATGAGCCTCTCGGGGTTGCTTGTTTCTCTGGGTGAGGGGTGTAAGTTCAGCTCCTGGAGTCCCAGACCTCGTCCAGGTTGGGCCTGACCCCCAGCTCCCAGTGGCCCTGCAGGGCAGGCAGGTGCCCATCCCTCCTGGAG